GAGGTAGAGGTAGAGGTAGAGGCAGAGGCAGAGGCAGAGGCAGAGGCAGAGGCAGAGGCAGAGGCAGAGGCAGAGGAAGAGGTCGAGGTCGAGGTCGAGGTCGAGGTCGAGGTCGAGGCCGAGCAAGGCAAGGCAAGGCAAGGCAAGGCAAGGCAAGGCAAGGCAAGGCAAGGCAAGGCAAGGTAAGGTAGGGTAGGTAGGCAGGGCAGGCAAGCAGGTAGGTCGGTAGGTAGGTACAGAAAAACAAAAAACCTCAGATAATTCGGATTCCTATGTTATTTAGTTCTCAGCATAGCAAGATGCTCCTAGTGCTGCAGCTTTTATGCGCAACATGTAGTCCTTCTGGCTCCTTGATGATGTCTTACACAGGGCAAGTGGCTAACATGAGAACCGTGCTTCGCCTCCAAAGGAGATGACGATGTCCTGCAGCATCTGCCGGAAGAGTTGTCTCCGTCTGAAGAGATTAGAACTTTGACGTAAAGCTCCTTCGAAGCACCTGCGGCCACCCGTCATCACCGTCAATGACCTGTCACAGATCAGCAGATCAGGACGCGTGACTAGCCGCCGGTCTTGAGCCAGTGTCTAAACACACGCTTGTCCGTCTTACGGTCGGAAAAGTGAACGGTGACCTAGCGCAACGCTTGGGCCCTCTTCAGCCTCGGCTTCTTAAATGCACTTGACACCTGTGCAGCTGCCGGTGCGAACAACCGATTCTCACAATGCCTGGAAAAAAGGGTGGACAGATTCCCTGCAACTAACAACTACGTCCCATCTTAGGTGTAATGGAGGCAGGCAGAGTCATAGTGACAGTAGTTCACACGATGAGCCGTTAGAGCTGCAACCCGCCCCCCCCCCCGCTGCCTGGAAGAGAGGGGAGTACGCCAAAGCGGGCCCCAGGTCTTCCTTCCAAGAGTTTCGAAAGTGCTCTGCCGCTCGGAGAAAGGGGTGCCTACTGCCGGCAACACAGCATGCGACCTTAAGCATGCATCCTTCGAATCCTCACATAAAACCCCGAAAATCTCTGAAAACTTCTGTTTTTCAAAACAGGATGTAACGTAGCCGGAATCCCGAAACCCCGAAACACCAAACATCTCCAACCCCGCACCAAAATGCAGCTATTTGTCCAAGGCTATCTTGGCCCGGTTTCGCGAGGCGCTTGCGGCAAGGGTGCCGAACCGCTGTGGCTTGCGTGCAGCAGAAATTCAACTTTCTGACACAGACACACACACACACATTGACATCTTTTCACGGATGCTTGCGGTGAAGCTCGACAGAACACATGTACACGTGAAATGGTGGCGATCTGGGTGAAGCGGGTCCTGCATGCTAGATTGGAGGGGGTTCCAAGCAGAAACTTCCTTGACCGATTTCTCAAGCCAGGCTTTTTGGGCCAAGCTCACTTTGCAGCTCTCTCCGTCATTTGTCTTGTTGGTTCTCTGACAACTCCCGACAGCTAAAACCTTGCCCGCAACTGCAGCCCAGACCTAAACGAAATCCTACGGGAGAGGATTCGAGCAACAGCGCCACACAGTGGCCAGAACCAGCGCTGAAAACTTCAGAAGGCCGCGGTTGAATGGCAGGTTAGGGTAGACACATTGCAACTTCAAGTCCTCCGTCATTCCATCGGCAATGCTTGGAAAAGTTTCCTCGAAAGCATCAAAGCTGGAGCCCAAGCATCCGAAAGCTGCAGGGTCCTGCAGATGATCAATGATTTCCACGGAGTGGAAGATGTTTGCCTCCTGGAAATGCCAGATCAAAATTCAGTGATAACAAAGAACCACGCAGATCCTCTGCCTCGGCCCGAGCAAGCGCCAGCGCATGTGTCGAGCTGAAGATTGCCTGGACCCACCACTTGTCGAGGGATTACCGCTCACCACTGTGCTTGTGGCCAGGTGTCGTGCATATCTTGCTTAGTTTCCCCGGACAAGCGCATTGGCTGCATGTCTTATTGATTTGCCAGACGCACTTTCACCAAACCCAGACCTGCGGCAAGCCACCATCTAAAAACTCCTGCCCTGCTGATGTACGCTTGCCGTTGAGAGTTGCCCCCAGACTAGACCAAAAGCAAGAGTTTGACACAATATTATGAAAAAGTGAAACGGTATCTGGACTCGAGATGGTGAGGTTTGCAACCGGTTGTGCTGACCAGCATAGGGATGCTTCTTGCCTCCTCCAAACTAGAAGCGGCCAGAAGCACCTGCCATGAAGCCGACGACTGTCTCCATCAACACATACGCGACCAGAATCTAAGCCCACGCTGACGCACCTTTTGTTGCGCACATGTGAGTTTGTCAGCCGACGGCCGGATCTGGTCACAAGATGCCTGTAAAATTTCAAAAGGGAAGCACTGCGATTTCCGCAACTGCCTAGCTGCTAAGCTACGGCCCTGCCATTGCAAAAATCCGACCTTTCGTGCTACCGAAGGTGACATTAGCCAAGTTTGAAGCTGCTGGACACCCACAGCAAATAAGCCAACGACAAATTCTCGGTTGCAAATGCCGAGAGAGACTCGCGACGGTGCCAGCGATCTGACTGGACTTACCACAATCAATCAAAATCAAAGGTGTATGCTGCACACTTCTGGAACCATCGTGGCACAGTGTAAAAGTTCACACAGTCCGTCTTGGCCACATAACAACACTTGATGCATCTTGCTCGGGCCACCCTTATGAGCGCTTCCAATCCACTCGTTAAGAAGCGGTGTTCATCATGAGGCCGGATTGCCGAAATCAAGACATCTGTCGCTCTCCGAGCAGCCAGAGTCCATCCATTGATCAGGGTTTATCAGGAACCACATCTCAATTTTTCAAGACATGGCTCCAAACCCTCTGACATTCACGCAAGAATTTAAGAGTGCCATCTGCTTTCGACACAAGTAGGATTCGCGGAGCAAGGGCGTTCGCCGATGAAATGCTTGCTTTGAACAAGGGCAGGCGGCAGCAGTGGGACATCCTTCTCTGCCCTTACTGCTGCTAATGACGTCTGTCTTCGCCTCTAGTAGTCTGGCACTGCCAGAACATTCGAGAAATGGAAAGCATGCGTATCCGACTGATGCTATCCACACTAAAATACACTAAAACAAAGCCAGACTTGCAAACGAATTTGGGAATTTCCAATGCAAAACTTACTCCAAAGTAAATTTCTGGAGAGCGCGCTTCACGGTCCCGAGTGTCCGTTGCAAACGAACTTGACAGGTCTGTGGAGGGTGTGCGACACCGCTGCATCCTGCATCAGCGGCATAAACTGCCACGTTTCCCACAGGTACTTTCCGAGAGCCTGTGCAAACAACCGCTCCTTGAAGTGCTTCTCGTTGTTTTGAAGCCCCTGAACATGGGCAGGCGAGACCTCGTGCAACCGACTGCTTAAATGCTGGTCATGCCAAGAAGGTTTCCGACATCGGAGCCCGCACGTTGACGATCTACATGTTCGGACGAGAGAGCCATGAATGTTTGTGTTTGGTAATGTATGAGGATGTTTTTTTAAGATGTGTTTTCGGATGATATGACTTGTAAGATAAGTTGGTGTCAGCTGAGAAGTTCTGATCAAAGCACCTGCATTCCAAGCTGCAACGATCGGCTTCCCACTCTTGCGCTTGTTGCGATCCTCCTTCTCAAGAAAGCTCTTGCCCTGCAGCACTGCTTGGCACATCCTGCAGGCAACGACATCCCCACCCGCGAGGACAGGTGGGAATTCAGGAAAAACATGGGTCCTGAAAAACTCGGGCTTGATAAAGTTCACGAAAGCATATCCCACATTCATGCGGGTCGATCGGTCCATCCTGCACTTGGCCAAAACAGCTGAGAAAGCTGCGACCAACTATCTCAAAGCAAGCGCTGCTGAAAGGCAGGACGATAGACATGCTAGGGTGTGCGAACAGGCGTCGGCACGTACACGAAGTCGTACCTAGGCGTGCATCGCTACAGAAACCAGCAATCCTTCCTGCTTTCACCAACAGCCTAGTGTTAGGGCCGAGCAGCAAACCACGGAAGCCCAGCTGGTCAAGCCGTTCCAGGAACTGTTTCCGATTCAGTTGGTTTGGAACGTTCCTGGCAAGATTTCAGCGTGCTGGTGGTATCCCGTGGCATGCCCGGCTGATGCAAAACTTTGTGTGTGTGAAGGGACCGAATCATCGCCGTCGTGATCTCACAGTCGGAGTGAGCAAACTCTTCCTGCGGAGGCAAAACGGAAACCAAAGCCCTGCGGTCAAGAGCTTCAGGCACAGGTCAGCGCCTGAATGTTGATCTTCTTCGGAACTTTCTTGTGTCCGACTGGACGATTGTTTATCTCCTCGGATCCTGCAGATTAGTGTCTTAGAACCTCTCACAGTCACAGGATCGATGAGCAGCTTCACGGGGCCTCCAGGATGTGCCGACACATCCTGTACAAATTGCTTCCGACGGAGTCACGAATCGTCACACTGGTTCTTTTCCGGCTCGCAGCACTCAGGCCTGCATCATGTAGGCCGGCAGGAGCCCCCTTAGCTTGGCTGAGCTAGCAAGTGCGAACTGCTCGAGCAGCATGACTCGCGGTAGCTGTCGCCGAAAGCACCAACCAAGGAGCGGAGCATCCTGGAGCATGTCAACCTGCGGCACCTGCACGGCGAATGCAAGTTCCTAAAAGGAAGCATCTAATTGCCAAGCACTTAACCTGCCGATGCCTGCCACGGTGCAGAAGCATGTGCTGCGATCTGCTCAGATCGGACTTGGTTGCATGCAGCAGGCCGGGCAAGCAAAGCCTTGTGCTGCCAATTCTTGAATGCATTCTGACTCAGGTGTCCGCTTGGGGGCTGTCCCCTCACATCCAGCATTTTATGGTCCTGTGGCAGCACCTGCTCGGGAGTACGAAAAAGAACGATTTCAAGTTCCTACTGGTACACGTGTGTACCTGCACGGAGCGGTCTTGATTTGGTCAATGAGCCAGTGCGTGAATGGGGAAAGCACGCATGAAGCGGCACTCAGACTCATGTTAGGTGCCTGCATGTGCGAGTGACGCAGCCAAGGACACTCAAGACAAGACTGGGCAGGGAGAGGGAGTGAAACGAGCGGTCCAAAGCAGTCAGTCCCAAACCAATGATTTCTCCAGAATTGCTGTATGCACTTATCCTGTGCAAACACACTGCACAAAAGTGGCAGTGCAGTTTGAATTTCACCTGTGGGCTCTTGACTTGAGCAGAAACGCAGGTGGAGGAACAGTAAGGTGGGGCTGACACAGGCAGGCAGGTAGAACCCTGAACCCTAAACCAACATAAAAGGCGACCATCACCACGAAGTAAAAGGCACAGATAACTTTCCCTCCGAGAAGAACTGTTTTTCCGTAAAAGTCCTGACGACTGGGTCGACTCATTTGATAACTGCGCAGTATCGCTGATTTGTGACATCGGTGAGCGTCTGACGTCAGTTCTTCAAGAAATTAAACACAACACGCAATGCAATCCTTGAAGCTTGGCCACGGCGGTGTGGGCAACCCGAAGCCACCTCCAATGCAGAAATCGCTGTAGCCTCTTTGCATCCACCTATTTGCGATGTGCCGCTGCCTGACGAAGTCTCCAGCGGGAGAGTGTTCCTGGGATGAGAAACTGAGAAACCAACGAAGCAAACCTTCAGACAACACCACCTTTCGCTAGTTGCAACACTTGAACTTTTCTGTATGCATGCAGGGATCAGTGCAGTTCGGAACACTGTGGGGTGCTGGACTCCTGCAACAGAACGGCATGGTTTCCAAATTCCACAAGGCATCGCACGACAAGCTGCAACAATCTAGGCGGTCATGAAGTTTTGATCAACGACATGAACCCACCTGTGTCAACGCCGGGCTTGAAAGTGCCGAAAACATCGCCAGAATCGCATGGTCCCTGGGCGGAGGAACGGTCCCAATATCATAGCAGGTTATCACTTGCAGACGGCGGCTCCACCTCCTCTGGCATGCATCTCAGAAGCTCCTCGATGGCCGGGAGATGTAAGGCAGCCCAGCCTAAGAAGAAGACAGGCGACGACGACTGCGAGCAACCTCTGCGACTAACTCGAACAAAACATGTGTTGAGTAGGCTCAAACGGTATGTCGATTGTGGAGTTTGCGAACGAAGCACGATGATCCTGTGGAGCCAAGGTTCCGTCTGACTGCGGAGAACAGATTCCACCCATTTGGACAGGAAGCTCCATCTGTTTGTGGCGCCCCCGGTACTTTTGGCAAGAGAAGTAAGAAAAAGTTTTCTGAATGCTTGAGCCTGTTGGAGTCCTTTTGGTTGCACAGAAACTCCACAAACGGTACTGACTGGACAGGCGCTGGATGACGACTCTTTCTCCACATTCGCGGTGCCTTGTAGACCGGCTCTAAGCTATTTCAGCAGCCCCTTCTCACTTCGCAGGAAGGATGCAGCGACTGCCAAATTGACTTTCAAATGCGCCTCATTGAGGCCTGCACACGGTCCATTCTTCCCTGCAGATTAAAAAAAGAAGCCACTCGCCTGGAAAGTCAAGTTGACTGAGCCCCTCGGTGTATTTTTCAGACAATCGGTGCATCGCACTGCGATAAGTGCAGGGGTCAGTGGTCACTCGGCTGGCCTGGCTCGCACTAGCCCTTCTGGGTGCACAAAGGCTCAAACTTCTCTCAGGGTGGTTTTGCTGATCATCTCCGCCGCCTTGTTCCTTGTCTAGCTGTGTTACAGCAAGCGTGCACAGTGACGCTTGCCTCCTATTCTTTTCGACAAGGCTCTGTGCTTCGCGCTGCTCCAACAGAATTTGCATGCGGTTCTTCACATCTGGATTGTCATCAAGGCACGCCATAAAGTGACCTCAGAAACACACACGTCCTGAATCCTATTTGCCGCTTTACCCACGTTGCCTAAGCTTATCATATGAAAAAATCATGTTTGAGGTTCAGACTATGGCGAAGCTCAAGGATGTATGCCACGTCTGAAGAAACGACGACGCTCGCACTCGCAAGAGTGCCCTTGAGCATTGTGTACCTGAATGAACAGGCTGAACAAGCAGCTTGAACAAAAGCGAACGAAACCTCGTTCTTGTTGCTGCAGGAAGACAAGCCAATCACCTGCCCCGGTCCAACAGTCGCTATCTCTTCCCCATGTACCGAGATTGAAAGCGCGCCATGACCTCGGCCACCGCTTAATCCCAAGGCGACACATATCAGCTGTCACAGCTCCAGCAGCTATGCAGGCAAGAGACCGACGACGAACAGGGCGCCGTTCTCGCAACCCTCCTCTATCAACACCGTGCCCTTCCGGGCGAAGACTTTTTGTCCAAAGGAGAGCCTGCAGGACGTATGTCTCCATGCAGCACTACTTGACGCAAGCAGCAGGTCTCGACTGCAGCTCTTGACGTGGGATGAAGCAACCGCCCCGCTAGCGACGTGTTGTCCAAAATCCTACAAAAGGTGTAGTGCCCCTTTCTGGTCTTAGTGCGAAGGGCACATTGCCCGAGAACTCGGTGCCGGTGCAGGGGTGCGCACTTCTACGCCCGCCCCAGGTACTGGCCGAGGGGGCGAATCGGGCGAGTGCTGGCCGGTATAGTCTCGTGTCAAACCACTGTCAAAAGGCGGCGCGGGCGGAAACTCAAAAGGCGATCGAGCCGAAGGACTTCGGCGATCACGGGCGCTTGTTCATGCACGCATACATGCGTTTCACAACAAGCGCCCCGCTGACGACGTGTTGGTCGATAGCCCAAATCCTACAGAAGGTGCAGTTCCCCCGCCCACTGGCGTTCGGCGTTCTGCTGGTCGTGCCCATAGATGGCCCTCCCACCTTCCACCCAACTTTGTCGCCCAGGAAGTGGAGCGTCGGGATGTCGGTCGGCCCCACCGTGGCGTTGTGGCCCGAGCGTCGCCACACCGAAGCTTGAGCTCGTGCTCGTCCGTCTGGCAGATGGCGAAGGACGGGGCGACGAAACAGTCGGCCAGGGGCGGAAAGGGCCCTCCCATACGTGAGGCGGGAGGGGATGCAAGGTCGTGCCACCGCCGACGGAATTGAAGGACGTTTTCTGCCTGTGGCCGCCATGCTCAGGCGGCCGTGGCATGGCTAGGCGAAGGCTCAGTGCCACCTCCGCCCTGTGCTTGGACGATGATGCGGCACCTTGACGAAGGGCTGGCGAACTCCAGCTCGGCCAAGTAACCGTCCAAGTTCGTCCAAGCCCGTGGCAGGGCGAAGCCTGGAGCCTGGAGATCTCCGGGTTGTGGTCACCCGCATCGTGCTAATACGCAAGGTGAGCCCACCGCCTCTAGTCGAAGATGTCGCCGCCGGCGTGGTAGCCGGCTGCTCGCTGGCGGCAAACTTCCGGAAGTAAGGTCGCCCTTGGTGACGACCTCTTGGGTGCCCGCCGGCATGCTCGGCCCCAATTTGCCGCGTGGGATGCGGCGAAGCGGGCGAAATCCTCCAAAGGAAAGTGCCCGAAGGGCGGAGGCCCAGTTCAGAATCAGAGGCGCCTACGACGAGGTAGCGATGAAGCAGCGCGGCTCCGTCTGCACGCTGGTGTCGGCGAAGATGGGGTGCGCCTCAGCCGAAGTCCTCGCATGCGAAGGCTCATCAGACGATGCTGTAGGCTTCGAGGTAGAAAAGTTGCTGGTGTCGGCCCCGCGTAGTCGGCGAGCGGGACGCCATGACGACGCCGAAGAGGGGCGAAAGGCGAAAGGCGGAAGCTCAAAAGGCGATCGTGGCGAAGGACTTCCGCGATCGCACGCACTTGTTCCTGCACGCATAAATGCGTCAGCAGTGCATCCAGGAAGATCCGGGCCGTCGGCTAGCTTCATCGGCAATGCTTGCCGAGTGACCACTAGGCGTATGCCAGGGCACAAGCTCCTCCGGTAGATCTAGTGCATTGTTGCAGGCGGGTGCTAGCCTCTCTATGAATGGACAGCGGGGATTTGCACGTGCAGCTAAACTCCGAAAAGGGAGATGCAAACCAGGAACCTTCTGTTTAAAGAGTTTATAGGCAATCATGAGGTTATACGGGCAACTTGACCAGCGGCACTCGCAACCAGCGGCACACTCTGCCTCCAAAAGGAGCTCGTTGACTAAAATGCAGCCGTGCTACCCGAAAGCCCGAACCCTTAAATCAAAATCCGCCGGCAGGGTTACCCCTCAGAAACCGAAGCCACTTGGAGCCCTTTAAGCGACCGGAGAACCCCAAACTTGAAGCCCCAACAAATTCCAAACCGACCCAGGTTTGGGCACTTCATCCCGGCCGCTTCAAGCTCAATCCCCAAACCTACAAATTAAGTTATCGCAAGCCCCAGCAAGTCACATCCTTGTCGGCATCTTGGGGAATGTTCCTCTCCCCCATTGACTACGCAGCAACATTCATGTCTTACACCTTTGCCGGCCTAAATAAAGACACTGCAATGTCTTTTTGGCTGTCTGGACCTTCACCCTAAAAGGCCTCGGCCGCAGGCGTTTTGGGCGATGTTAACTTGTAGTCAAGCCCTCCTCAAAACCTCTTGAACAGTCATGCTTGTCATGCCTGAGAATGACATCCCTAGCCACGCCCTTGAAGAGGTAGCATCCTTCCTGCAAGCAGGCTGCTCCATTAAAGCCCTGCTGAACTGCTTGTGTTGTCAGCAGGCGTTCACGCTCCTGCCTCCATAAGCCCTAAGAAATCCACCTTGCCAGCTATCGACCACATTTTTTCATCGAAGTTGTGCTCGTGGATATAAGCGAACTCGCGTTCCTAAGTTGAAGTTTCACAGGTTTCAAAGGAGTGCTAAGACCAGCTGGGTTGGCTGAAGGTTGATGCATCGTGAAAGCACACCTGGAGCCAGGGCTCATGAGTCGTGCTGCAGCGAGCCTCCGGAAAGCTTCTGAGCTGCGCCGACTTCTCCCGGTGGTGGACTGATGCTGCAAGTGCGTCAATCAAACACCGACATGAAGAGGTGCGAAGCCTGAAGGCCCTGTGTCAGGGAGCCCACGAGCTAAAGGGACGGCAAGAGGGGCTGCGAGAGGTGCGCATTTCCTGAAAGAGCAGAGTATGCCGCCTTGACACCATTTCGACTCGAGAATAATCAATCCAAGCTTCAGCAGCCTTCGGGCTGTGGCTCTCATCTCCACGCAGGGAAGGGCCCGCCAGAAACAGCTGCGGAGAGGAGCGGCGAGGCAGGCTCTGACTGCTGCGACTCCAGACACACACACACACACAGAGAGCCAAAACTGAGGCAGTGAGACGGTGAGGGTGCCCTCAGCCTCATCCTCGTCGAGGCCAGGCCAGCCTCTAAAGGACAGTGCCACCCAAGCAAGGCATTTTTCAGATTCCCTGACCCACCTCGGTCTGCGGCAGTCAGCACCTCCCAGGATGGCAGCTTCACGAGCTCAAAGCAGCATCGGAAGTCTAGGGCTCGGGCCACACACAGCTGTCCTTGACATCTCACCATGCATACCGGCTGTGCAATCAAAAGAAGTCTCCTTCAACTTCTCCGTTTGCACGCGTCTTCCGAACGTCCTGCAGTGGAACAAGAAACGGCAGGAAACAGCCGAACTTCCGGCAAGTCCTCGATGCGGAAGAGGGTATCCACTGCACAAGAAAGAGTGGCCTTCACAGATTCCACGAGCCACAAATTCCACAAGCCATCACAAGCCATCACAAGCCACAAGCAGCTCTCTGAGCGCAAGGAGAAGGCCGGGCCTGGCCTGCGTGCCGGGCGTGGCGGCTCTCAAAGCTCCTTGCGAAGTTGGAAGCAGCAAGCGCACGGCCTGGCCAGGCCACGGGACCCAGGCCACTCGACTAGTCTAAAGCCCTCATCGCCTGCTGGCCCAACACTATTTCACGAGCTGCCTGTCGCGAAGTGGCGGGACAACCGAACACAGCAGCAAGCAGTTCGTTCGTCAGTCAACTCGAGCTACGGATGGTAGTAGGACACCTTTCAACGGCTGTAGCACGTCAAACAGCATGCTCTGACATGAAACATGCTGCACCTTCTGGAAGAGAAGCACCGGACATCGCCCGTACGGTCTGGCGATTTCCTGGAACAAAATCATCAAAATCTTTCCAGCTCTGTTCTTCCGAACTTCACAGAGAAGACATGTGGACAGCTTAACTCCTCTTCCCACTGCCACTCCACTGTTTCGAACTCCTGCAGCTCACAAGCAGTATCGGGTTTTGTCGACAAGAGGCAGGGTGCAACAGATCGCTCGAGCCGGCGAGCTCTGACATGGAGCGCAGAGGAGACTTTGCCTAACTTGAAACATGAGCTTGCACGGTGTCCGATTCTCTGCACCGACCGCTCGGAACTAAGCCATCACTCCCCCAAGGATCGTGGCAACTTCCGCACACTAGTCCGTGTGGCACAGCACCTAGGACGTGCGTACCACGACGAGCACCGAGCAGAAAGCAGGTGGTGTGAAACCCAATATATGGAACACGAGGAAGCGGAGACAAAAGTGGAAAGCGGCAGCAGAGCAGGCTCAGAGAGCGCTCCAAACCCAGGTGCCCTGATACTCATCGTGCTCGGCTCTCAAGGGGCGATCTTGCAACTTGCGAAGTGCGGTCTTGATGTCAACTCCTTTGTGAATGACTTCGTACACAGACTCACAGATGGGCATCTCAACCTCAAGTCTTTCGGCTAGAAGGTGGACCGCAAGACTGGTCTTCACTCCCTCGGCCACTGCCAGGTCTTGGTTGAAGTTTCCAGTTCCAGCCACCTGACGCTTATGCTCTGGTAGACTCCTTGCAACCATAGCCTGACCAACTGAGTAGTTCCGCGAGAGGCTGCTGCTGCAGGTCAGGACGAGGTCCCCAACTCCCGCTAGCCCCGTGATGGTTGAAGCCTTTCCACCTTTCTTGACCACAAGGCGTGTCATTTCTGCCAACCCTCTGGTGATCAAAGCCGCTCTCGCGTTGGCTCCGAAGCCAAACCCATCGCTGGCGCCGCAAGCAATGGCCAAAACGTTCTTAAGAGCTCCACACAACTCGGCACCGATAACATCTGCCGCTGTGTACACACGAAAGTTTCGTGTCGCCAATGCCAGCTGGATTTGCTTCGCAACTTCAATGTCCTGTGCCGCGCAAGTTACACTCGTTGGCAAACCAACGCCAATTTCTTTGGCAAAGGATGGACCACTCACCACTGCCAGCTTGGCATGATACTTTCCCGGAAGCTCATCAACCAAGATCTCGTAAGGAGTGCGAAGGCTTTGTTGTTCGATCCCCTTGCTGAAGCACACGAGTGGAACCTGCCACGGAAGAACCGTCTGGTTCTGCTCGAGCCACTTTGCAATGAAAGGCGTCGGGATGATCAGGAAGAGAAGCTCGGCTTCCGAAACAGCTTCTGCGACACTTGACGTTGCGACGATTTTCTCACTTAGCGGAATGCCAGCCAGAAAAGTGCTGTTCTCATGCTTGTTGTTGATGCTGTGCACGACCTCATCTTCCCTGGCCCATAAGCTGACAAGGATGCCCTTGCTGGCAACATGGTTTGCCATAGCTGTACCAAAAGCACCTCCACCCAGCACTGCAACCTTGCGGACAGAAGTCTTTGCAGCTTCTTTCATCGACCCTTCTGATGCCATGGCTGAGCTGGAACACTTCACAGTGCCCGAAATTGCGCACTGGTGATGTCGAAGTGTCCTTGTCGACTACGCTCGTGAGATATCATGCAGTGTTCACTCAATGCTCAAGGCCTTTCCGTGTGTCCGAAATTGAACCTGTACGCCGTCAGATCATCTACAACAAGTATCACACACTCACGCTCTCACACTCATGCACTCTCGCACACAAACAAATACTCACAAAAGTCAGAACAAGTATCACACACTCACGCTCTCACACTCATGCACTCTCGCACACAAACAAATACTCACAGAATCACACACCGACACACGCACATACACCACCACCCACACACACACACACACGCACACGCACACGCACGTTGTCCACTGCAGACTGATTGCCAGCCACGGGCTGGATTGCAACACGAGCAACCACAGCTGCCCTCCTGCAGATCGCCATCACGTGCAGGGAAGCTTGGATGGCCCTCATTGGCCTGGCAGCTCATACCACGTACTGCTGTCGCTAAAACCGCACTGCCATCAGATGAACGATATTGGTCTGGGCTGTGAGGATCTTTCGGGCGGGACCTCCGCCGGCGTGACACACCGCTCATCCATGACACAAAGCCATCGCACGAGCAAAAGGTGCTCCACTTCCCATGAAACTGAATGCATCATCTGCCCTTACTGAAAGGCAACTATGACTCTGAGGAAGGAGAGGAAGATGCATAATTCAAGAAAATGGGACTTCGCAATCGGATTCGTGCTTGCACCGAAGACTAATATAGACATGCTATTCAACCACGACAGCTCTGTGAGCAGGCTTGATTTTAACAAGATGTCTCCACCTGTCAAGCCGCGAGGGCTAACTCGACCGCACGTGGAACCATGCCATGCTTAAGTTGAGTATGCATTGCAGATAACAGAGCAAAGACGACCGTCGATCAATTTCGATACGAAAGAAAATGACTTAGTTGCACGGAATCACTACCGATGCAACGCTTAGGGCGGGCGATTGCCTACTTAAGCAGCAATAACACAGAAAATGACCCAATTCCGTCAGAAAACTCTATTCTGGCAACGGCTGTCTGTCGCCAGAAAGGTTTTGCCCGCCTTGAAGCAATTGTCAATGATACAATTATTTCGCTGGCTTCGCTTCGTCAGCACATCTTGCAGTGTTCATTTAGTACGTTCTCCCATGGCATCAAACCAAGCAAGTGCTTTCAAGATAAAGCGAATCTCATCCTGTGAATCTTTACCAGACATTGCCCAAGATCCACTTCACTACATCTGATTCGAGACCCATCTTAGTTGGATTCAGCGCTTATGAGCACACTACGTCACTACACACGCTGCAAGGTTTTCCTTTCTTGACTTCAGGAGAAGTTATCGTACATAGCCAGCCAACCAACTTTTTCCAGGAATTGCACCTTGCCGATCCAAAGGAAGCATGGTGCAATCTGTTTGAACAAAATCGCAGCTATGCAATCGCATCTGACCCAAACATGAATTCTACTCGTCCTGCAGGCTCAAAGCCGGACTATCAGGGGTCGCAAACAACTCTACGTCACAACTTGCTGCCATGGTTGTGTGGTTGCATCAAAACACAACTTCGACACCTTTCCACAGGAACCGAGTTGCACGCCTTGTCCAAACCACTTGTTCACTTCCAAAGCTGCGTTGCCATGTTTTGACATCTACATCGCTCAATCAGTTCCACCAGCATGTCTTGACATTGGAACGTTGCATTTTGACAGCTTTGACTCTCATCCAAGTAACAAAAGCAACCTCCATTGAAATCCATCTAAACGTAAATCTTCGTTGTCAACATGAAAACTCATGCCGGACTGCATTTTAAGCAAATGCCTTCCGTCTCTTTCCATCAAAAACAGGTTGGTCTGAATTAAATCACCTCATGACCAGCATCAGCTGCTGAAGTTTGCAAGGTCAAGCCAATGTCACCTGCCAACGTCTCAAATCCGACACACGAGCAAGCCATGTTACGTCCACTCCAGAAGAGAAAGCCAAAAGGATAAGAATCCACTTTTTAAAAAAACCTTGCGGGAAGGGCTCGAAAAAGCAGACTTGTTGATGGGAGCTGTCTCTCTTCACAAGTACTATTGTTTCCCAATTCCATTTCAAACGCTGCGAAAGTCTTCTCAAGTCGATCCATTTCGATGCGAAAGAAAATGACTTGATTGCACGGAATCACTACCGATTAGGGCGGGCGATTGCCTACTTAAGCAGCAATAACACAGAAAATGCCCCAATTCCGTCAGAAAACTCTATTCTGGCAACGGCTGTCTGTCGCCAGAAAGGTTTTGCCCGCCCTAAAGCAATTCTCAATGATTCTATTGTTTCGCTGGCTTCGCTTCGTCAAGATCAAGCGAATCTCATCCTGTGAATCTTTACTAGACATCGCCCAAGATCCACTTACCTCCACTCCAGAAGAGAAGCTAAAAGGACAAGAAGGCGCAAAAAACATGTGAAAGCTCAATGCACGTGGGTCTTTCCAATCTGAAAAGTGAAACCGCTTTTTGATCTTGGTTGTTGAAACGACCGTCGATCCATTTCGATGCGAAAGACGGTCAGAGCAGGCGATTGCCACCGGGGCTGGTTCCCGGGACCCTTTCTCGACGAGACCTTCGAAGCCTTCGAAGCCTTCGAAGGTTGACGGGTCGAAGGGAGCGGGAGGGGGGGCGGCCGAAGGTGAGAAAGCCATCGAAGGCTTCGAAGGTGAGGATGGAAGGCTTCGAAGCCCCCTTCGAGGCCTTCGAAGGCTTCGAAGCCTTTCGAGGACGAGAACGAAGGGACCTTCGAAGCCTTCGAAGACCCCTTCAAAGCCTTCAAAGGCTTCGAAGCCCCCTTCCAAGCCTTCAAAGGCTTCGAAGCCCCCTTCAAAGCCTTTGAGGCCCCCTTCAAAGCTTTCAAAGGCTTCGAAGCCCCCGTCCGAGCTTTCAAAGGCTTCGAAACTCGCAGAAATCAAAACCTGAAGTTCTTTCCAAACACAACAAGGAGAAAGCTACACGAGAACGCTTTGGGATCAAAAAACGAAGAAAAAGATTTTAAAGAAGAAAATGAAACCAAATCCATTCTCAAACCTGGGTTCAAAACCTGACATTCTCCAAAAACACTTAAGGAAAGCCACACGAGAACGCTTTTGGGCCTGACGTTCTCTAGTGTTCATTTAGTACGCTCCCATGGCATCAAACCAACAAGTACTTTCAAGACAAAGCGAATCCCATCCACAACATCTGATTGAGATTTAAGTTGGATTTGCTTGCAAGCACACTCTATCACCAACCAACTTTTTGCAGGAATTGCACCTTGCAATCTATCTGCAGAATCGCAGCTGCCAGACATGAATTCTATTGGACGTCACAAACACTGCTGCCATGGTTGTGTGGTTGCATAACATCACTTCAATACCTTTCCACAGAAGCGAGCAACTCTTGTCCAAAACCAGTTGTGCCATGTTTTGACATCTATCATCAGTTCCACCAGCATGTCTTGACATTGGACGTCCATTTTTTCTGCAAGTAATCTTTGGTGTCACAAAAACTCATACCGGACTGCATTTTTTCGGAAATGCCGTCCCTTTTCCATCAAAAAACAGGTTGCCAGCATCAGCGTTTGTAACGTTCTGTAAATTACCTACTCCTCTAAAAATCCAACATACAAAGGCACACAAAGACATGTGAAAGTTTCTGTTCTCTTCACGCTTCCGTTTCTTACCGAGATTGAACTGGGTTGAACCACGGACCCAGGTTCCAGGTTCAATCCAGGTTCAACGTCGTTGTTCTCACTCGCACAACTGCTTTTGGTCGAAGTGCACACCTAAAGCACACTTGGACAGGAAAGCTTGTTGTCCAAGATAGGAACAATGAAGATCTGCAGCTTGCTTTTTGGACAGACGCAACCCGCAAGCATGTTACCCGAGATCCCCTTAAACCCTTAGCAAGGTAATGTAGGGGCTGTAATGAAGAATCCACTACTACTACTACTACTACTACTACTACTACTACAACTACTACTACCACTACTACTACTGCTTCTACTACAACTACCACAACTACTACGACTACTACTACTACTACTACTACTACTACTACTACTACTACTACTATTTCTCCTACTACTACTACTACTACTACTACTACTACTACTACTAGTACTACTACTACTACTACTACTACTACTACTACTACAACTACTACTACTACAACTGCTTTTTTCTTCCGGACGCAGCAAGAGGCACTCGCTTCGCGGTTACGGTGTTTTGACGGGGCCCGTACCCCGGCGCTTAGCGCACCTCGATCCTTCGCGAGGTTCAAAAGAGATCGTCGCCCCCCGGTCCGAAGACCCAATGATGCGAGGGCAACTTCTGTGCTACATGATTGAAAGCGTACAAAAGCATACATAACATGT